TCTTTAATAATTCCTAATGTTAATTGTGTCATCTTTTGACAGTAATAATTTGTTTATATTTTGGCTTCCTGGAACAGAATTTCAAAACAATGGTAAATTTGTAAGCATTTGTATTTATTTAAAGACCACTGATAATACTTAGAGTTCAACATCTAATTGTTGGTGACATCCTGGCCCATGTCTGTAATCTCAGCACTCTGGAGGCTGAGGCAGGAGGATCTCTGTTAGTTCAAGTGCAGCCTGGCTTATACAGTAAGACCTTGTCTCAAAAAAAAAAATGTTGGTGATAGAAAGTACTGGAATGCTTTCTATTTGCCAGGCCCTGTTTCTCTGGTTTTCCTTCTTTGCTGTTCCTTTGTTTATCCCTTTGTACCTTCACCAGGATAGGGGTTGGTGGTTTCTTTAGGCCTCTTTCATTTTTAAAATCTCACCATCTTAATGAAGGAGCTCAGAAGAGCCATTTGCTAGATGCTGTGAGTTTACTGTACATATAATCCAGTGCAAATGTGCAAGAGTTTTGCTAGGATGTATACCAGGGAGTATAATTGCAAGTTCATATAGTTCTTGAATATCAGCCTTGAAAAAAAAAAAAAACAGTGACAAATTTCTTCCCGTAAGAGTTCTATGAATTTTTGCCCTGTGTATGACATTTCGCGCTGTTCCACGTCTTCTCTAGCCCTTGGCATTATGAGACATTTTCATTTTTGCCAACCAGGTGGTGTCTAACCATGTCTCCCTGAGATTAGAATTTGGTTTTGCTTGTTAATTCAGTCAGTCAACTTTTACTTTTTAACTACACCTAGAGTTTATTTAAACCTAACATATTTGCTAATATATTTGGATTTATATCTGATATCTGACTCTTTGCTTTCTACTTGTCTCACATTATTTTGATGAACTTTTAATTTTTTCTTGCTTTGTTTGGGGTTATATGTTTTTGAGTAATTACATTGTTTTCCCACTGTTGATATGAAAATTGTATGTATTTGATTTCTTTTTCCTTAGTAGTTACCCATATTGTCATAAGAATCTGATTCTAAAGCTAATGGATACAACCCCCCACCCCACCTCCATCATGAAGACAATTGTTCTTATGTCCTCTAGGAATGATGGCCTGGGCGGTTTGCATCCCATGTACTTGAGCCACTAAACTGAAAGTGTGTCTCTTTGTAGTTCCAGCTCTCAAAGGGCTCCTATTGTATTCCCTTGCTGTTTGTAGACTCAGGGGTTTGTTTTCTGTTGTCCAGAGCCCTTTGAAGAACTGAACACGACAGGTTTACGTCATATGTGTTGGCACCTGCTTTCAGAGTAAAAGCAGCTGTAGCACTCTGCTCTTAGCTCTAGATTCCTTTCTTTATGCAGATTTTGGCCAATTTAGGAAAGTGACAAAGACATAAACAAATTCTCTGGACATTTCTAAGAAATTGTGAGAGTGGTCTTCAACTTCTTGGACAAATGTCAGTATGGATGTAGCTGCAGAAAGTATTCCCTCACCCTCTGAATTTGAATGTCACTTCACAGCAGAGAATCCTGTTCTTCTTTTTGGAATCACTAAATCACTAATTCAATCCCTACCTACCTCATTCTTTTTTATTCTTTGGATGGACCACTGCATTCTCCCATCTCAATATTTTTATTTATATAATTTTCATAAATAGTGCAATAATTCTTCACCAAATCCCTGCCTGGGATAACAAAATGCTGCAGAAAGTACAGGTAGATAATCCACTTTTTAAAAATTTCAACTATTTTTTGAAAACTGTTACATAAAATCTTAAAAATTATGCATTTGCAAGGAGGAGCATATGACCTTTGGATAGGTATATACACTTTCTAATGTTCTCATTCTCACTTGGGTACACATATCAATCTCCTCAAATCTTCATCTTTGTGGTAAAAAATTCCAACTATTTTCTCCTAGCTTTTTGAAATTTATAGTAATCATCCTTCCTTATGGCTACCCTACTGTCCAAGATGACACCAGAACTCCTTGTTATTACCTACATTCCTCAATGGAGGGGTGGAGTGGCCTGTCACCCCTCCACACTCTTGCCAAATTTGTTTGCAGCATATGGGGAACAGTATTTTGTTTTATAAAAGAATAAAAATTTGTTTGTTTTAAGAACACCACAGAAAATCCACCATTGCTCAGGGTGATCATGGGCAATCTTCATGCATCCCCAGAGCCTTCAGGGGTAGGGGCAGGCAGGGAGACACACTGCACAGAACTTTGATCCTGGAACACCAGAAGTAACAGCAGGTTGCTTGCTTGTATTTGCTCTGACTGCTGCTTATAAAGGCGCTATATACAACCATCCCTAGAAGCTGTTTCTCCATTCTGCACCACTGTGGGAGAGCTGTGAACTGTTCTGACTATCTGACTCTCCCTGGATCTCAGAGTTCTCCTCTCACCCAAAGAGTAGGGCTTAAATGCTGCTTCTTAATACCTCTTGGAAAACACTTTTCAGGGGGTCCTGTGTTTTCCTATAGCACTTTCTACAGTTCTTTGAATTGGGGAGATATACTGAAGATAAAACTAACTTTTATTTCCCCTGGATTTGTTTCTTAATAAGGGAGAATCATTAGCCATTACTATATTTTACTTTTTTTTTTTTTTTTTTTTTTCTTTTTTGCCTCTAGTGGCCTGTGGGACAAATATTCCCATTAGTAGCAATGGCTGGCAATGGCAGAGATGCTTCCCAGGCCTGAAATGAGGGGGTGAATATCTTCCCTCAAGAGCAAGAGCAGGTCCTGAAATCTCTGGGGTAGAGATAAATATAGGTAGCTTTCAAAAGTTCCTGGATGATTCTGATTTACCCATTTTTCCAGCTATGCATTACTTTGTCTTTTTAGCCTCCATGCTGATGTTTCTTATGTTCTTCTAACAAGTAAACTTTGAATCATGAAGAGTTTCCAGAAGTGTTTACTAGCCACATTCCATACTGGAGGGGTGGAGTGGCCTGTCATCCCTCCAGACTTCTGCTGATTTTGTTTGCTCCCTACAAGGTACAGTATTTTGTTTTATAAAAGAATATAATTTTGTTTGTTTTTAAGAACACCATTGATTAAACATAAGGCAGCAATGTATGGTAAAACTTCCAGGGTGTGATGGGGCCATAGCTAGACACATATATTAGATAGCTCCTGAATTTTGAGTTCTGGAACAATCCACTTCCGTCCCAGAAAATTGAGGTTCTTGTGTTCATTCATTGTATCACAAGAAAGTTTTTCTTGAGTGAACACGTAGCTGCTGTACAGAACGATGAATTATACTGGTGTCTGCTTGGAGGGCTCCTACTCTAAATTAAAACTGATACTAAGCCTAAGGGGATTGCATCATTTGAGAGAAAACAAAACAAAGCACATAAACCCTAGCAATTCTCACTTCTTTTTGTTTTGCCTTCAGTGCTATTTGTTCCCGGAGCAGTGGTTTAAAATTTCTGTTTCACTCTGACACATGGCTCTAGGCCAAGTTACCTCTTTGCTTCACTGAATTTCTAGGAACTCCTGGGTCCTCATCCCAGATGGCCTGGTGCCAGATTCCTAAGCGAGTCCACCACGTTGCTGCACAGCCTAGTCCCGAGGCCTTGGACAACTAGCTCCTCATTTCTGAGTCTCCCTTGTCTTAAATCAATGTAAAGAGATTTTGACTTAAAAAGAAAGAATTCGATGAAGAAATAATTTTTTTTTTGCTTCTACTGTGCAAGGTAAGCACTCTACCACTCGGCCACATCCCCACGAAGAAGTCAGATCTATAAAAATAAAGGATCTTTCCTAGAGCTATCTGTCAATGGCCGTACTACATATTTTTGTCCTTTCCTGGCTCTTTAGTGGAGGAACAATGCTCCATTTCCAATAAGGATTCACTGAGGTTGTTCCTGATTTCACTCCATGCAAAAACCACTTGTAAGCAAGTATCTCGTCTGGAATACAGCATAGAAAACTTCTGGCCCCTGGCAACCCTTCTCCACTCTGCTCACTCTTCCGTCTGTGTCTGCTCATATCTTCAGGTCCAAGTTTCCAGGTCAGGGGAACCTAAGATGATTAGAGCTGGCAGAGGAACCTCACAGCCGTTGGGCAGAGCCTGGGTAAGCAGCCATATGGCCTAGTCTTTTCCCTGCCCAAGACTGTCTCCCTCCAGGGGACTTCTTTTCCCTGGATTATGCAGATCTGGATTTGAAGCCTCCTCTAGTCTCTGAAGTATTTAAATTGGGCATCAGGGAGCTGTGATTTCCCATTGCGTGTTCTGCAGCAGCTGAGGCAGCAGGAGCCTACAGCTCAGAGCAAACTTGTTTCTCAAGTAGCTGCCTTCCCAAAGCTTGGGACCAGGAACTGAATATGAGCTCTTTTGGTGTCTATGAGTTGGGAATGTTATCACCCTGGTTTTTATGGTGCATTAAATTACTTTGTATCTCATCACCTGCTTTGAGGTCTGCTGCAAAGGTCTGCACATGTTAATTGTTTCTCAATCTACTTGGGTTAGGACTTCAGTAGTACTGGAATAAAGCAACTGATGGGTTTAGACCTGAGTCATGGATAAACCACATAGAAGTTGGCCAGCACACGGGTCAGGCAGCCTGTGCCTGGCACATGATAAGTGGGGGTCACCGCACATTAGAGGGTGTGGGAGTAGCAAGCTCTGCGTCTCTCAGTCCTTGTTTTCTTTTGACTCTCTAGGGTGTCATAGCCACCATGGCACACGACATGGAGAAAATCCAAAAGAGCGGTATAGCAAAGCATAGCCAATGCATATTCCTTGCCTCTTGGAGTCTGGAGGTGAGGGGAGTGTGAGTGGGGCTGGGTTTCCAGCCCTACTTGCTCCACTTAGCCAGTATCACTACCCAGCCCTGCTGCTGAAGCCTAGCTCAGGGCCCTGGAACTGCCCCTTGGGGCTTCCCTCTCATCCAGCCCTGACTCTTAGAGTCTTGCCTGGCTGCTATGGCAACAGGTTCCAAGGTGACAAAGGAAGGAGCTGGGTCCTGTTGATGAAGATTTTCAGACCGTAGAGACCGAACTTCTGCCCTGCACTACCTGTATCTTTCTGTGTTCGCACTCAGGCAGAGCTCAGACTTCCATCCCTGCCAGGAGGACCATGAGCCTGACCACGTGCGAGTGGAAAAAAGTTTTCTATGAGAAGATGGAGGTGGCAAAGCCAGCTGACAGCTGGGAACTCGTCATGGACCCCAACCTTAAGCCCAGTGAGCTGGCTCCTGGCTGGAAGCAGTACTTGGAGCAGCATGCCTCCGGCAGGTGAGTAACCTGAAGAGAGTCTGCAGGTAGCCTTGGGTCACAGCCATAGGGCACCTTTCAAGAAGAGACGGAGTCTGGTCCTGGGCTCAGTCCTACTCTGTGTCAGCTCGAATGGGGCAGCAGAGGAAAGACTGCCAGGTGGGTCACAGAGGCTTTTGTTCTAATTGAACCTGTGCCACAGACTTCCTGGGTGACTCTGGGAAGTTATGTTTCCTTTTGGGGTCTCCATATTCTACCTTAAATGATGAGCAACCATATCTCCAATGTCCCTGCAAATTCTGACAATTAAAGAGTGGTTAGAACAAAGGGTAGGTGACTCCGTTGGACCTCAGCCTAGGAGGTGGAAGGGTGGGGCATGCTGTGGTCCTGGGTTTGCATCTTCAGATAACTCAGGGCAGCTTGATTTGAATGCAGAGACTGTTACTAACCACCTGTTACGCCCTAGAAACTAGATTTGTGTCTAGCTACTGTTGTTAAATTTTCCTCTCTGGTTCTGAGTTTTCACATTTGCAAAATGCGGGGCTGGATTTTGACAATCACTCAAATCTCTCCCAACTTTCTTATCTGTGAATCTGTGAGCTAAATGTGCAGGTCTGGGCAAGACATCTCTTAGGGTCCCCTATCCAAAGGGGCATGCCCTTCAAACCCCCACATCGCTCCATCTTTTAGACTGATTAGGGATGGAGACCACAGCATTACTTGCCCAAACTGCCTGAAGCCCACCTGCAGGGTCAGCACAGTCCCTTGATTCAAGGGAAGCCAGTAAGTGCATCTCGTAAGTGTGGACAGAACTTGACATATGTATGTATGCATGCAAAGCCTCTCATCGTGCAGAATGGTGCTGAGGGTGGGGAAAGAAGGAGGCAGGCAGACTTGTGTACAGTCAGTTGAGCCTGTATTAACAAAAGTCAATTCAAATGAATTCAAGAAGCATCTGTTGGGCACCTGCTATGCGTTAGCCACTGGCATGCTTCTAACTAGCTGTGTGCACACAATGGCCCTTTTACTTTTTGTGCTTCCTTCTCATTGTCGTAGAATAAGGGCTGACTATCTGATTCTTAAGATCTCCCCTCACACAGGTCTGATATCTTTGCATTTAAGTTCAGGGGTCCGGCTGGAGGGCAGGGACACAACTCTGGACTGGCTCATTTAGAGATGTGCAGAAGGAGACTGAAAATGGGAAGCTCCTCAGCTGCCTGGAGAAAGAGGTGCAAAGGGCTGTTACCTCGGGTGGGAGCTCAGGTGTAAGACTGAGATTGATGGGGCTCATGGCTCCTCTTGCTTCAGAGCTCAGCTGGGTCTCTTGCTAGTTGGTGACCTGGGCACTTGGCAGAGCTAGAGGACTGTTGCCCCTCTGCTCACTCTACCATTACGCCATTGGGTGCATTAACCCTGGTGCTCTGGCTCAGGACTCATCAGGCTCCTCTGCTCTGCCAGTCCTGCCTGGGTGGTGCTGGGTACACTGCTGTGCGTACATTGCATGGCTCCCTGGGACTGAGAGTGGCTTGGCTTCATGTCTATTCACAGCTTGGGCTGACCAGTGCTGAGTAGCGCCTATGGGATCCACTTTAGTTCCTCATCAGAAGTCCTTCAAGGCCTAGAAAGAGCCAGAAAAGAAGGCACAATCAGCCCTGTAGACATTCGAAAGCCTCAGAAGTCTCTGCCAAGGGGGCGGAGAAAAGTAATCTCTTGGATGAAAGCCAACAAGTGCTCCATCACTGAATGTGTGCATGTACTGGGGAAGGATACCGAGAGAGGGGCTTGGCTAAGTGTGTGTGCGTGTGTGTTGGGCAGGAGGGGGGGATTAGGGATCAGAATTCACTTTTCCAGTTTTCACTGCAGGGCTGCAGTGGGATCTTTGGATGACTTGTGAAGGGACAGGGACTGTTCTTTGTGAAGATAATGGACCAAACTTGGCAGTCCCTCCCTCTGCCAGTCCATCACCATTCACTTATTCTTGGTGGTTTATTGAGGACCTCCAGTGCACCAGGACTGGGGCTTGGCATCTCTTCTTCCACAGACAAGAAAGATGTGTGTGTCAGATAGTGTAGGTCACCTCTCTTAGCAGAGTCACAGGAGGTCTGAGCAGAAGGACCCGTGCTGGACTCCCTCACACTGCACTTCACAGACAAGAAATAAGGTCGGAGGGGCTGGGGATTTAGCTCAGGGGCAAAAGCGCCTGCCTGGCAAGCACAAGGTCGTGAGTTCAGTTCCCGGTACCGGAGAAAAACCAAAACCAAAAAAAAAAAAAAAAGAAAGAAATAAGGTCGGAGAGGGGTGGCGACATGTGCCCAGCGCAGGCTGTACACCCCGGGTGCAGCAAGCTGCAGCTGCAAGCCTCTCACAGGAGGCCAGCTGAAGAGCATGCTGGGTACATGACCGCTTCTCTGGGGGCTCCTGAGGATGCTTCCCTGGCCCTAGGCTGTCCACCTGGAGGAGGCTGCAGCTGGGGGCTTCAGAATGCTAATGAACCCACAGGGCAATAAACACTCTATATCCATTTCCAGGATCTAGAACAAAAGCCTTTCCTGTCTGGGCTCCCCAGGGAGGGTTTCTGGGAGCCTCACCTTCTTCTCCTCCCTGCAGGTTCCACTGCTCCTGGTGCTGGCACACCTGGCAGTCGGCCAACGTGGTCATCCTCTTCCACTTCTGCTTGGACCGCGCCCAGCGGACAGGCTCCGTGCGGATGCGCGTCTTCAAGCAGCTGTGCTACGAGTGCGGCACGGCGCGGCTGGATGAGTCGAGCATGCTGGAGGAGAACATCGAGAGCCTCGTGGACAACCTCATCAGCAGCCTGCGCGAGCAGTGCTACGAGGAGGATGGTGGCCAGTACCGCATCCACGTGGCCAGCCGCCCAGATAGAGGGCCTCACCGCAGCGAGTTCTGCGAGGCCTGCCAGGAGGGCATCGTGCACTGGAAGCCCAGCGAGAAGCTGCTGGAGGAGGAGGCCTCCTACTCCGATGGCTCCAAGTGGAAGGCTCTGGCAGGCCTCGACTACAATTTCTTCTCACGTCGCTGGTGCATCCTGTGGGGTGCCCTGTGTCTGCTCCTGGCCTATCTGCAGTTCTCCTTCCGCAGCCCTGACTTCTTTTAGTGGGTGGATGAGGGACTGGGAGAGGGTGGAGGGTGGAGATAGGGAGGATTCGGTCTGGTTCTGATGTTGTTAGACTCGGTATAGGGCCCGGGACAACTCAGTCACCCTTCCTGGGCTCAGACTTCACCTCTGTAGAATGAGTGGTCTGCATTAGGAGGCGTTCACTGGCTCAGTTCATCGATTAAACTGCGCAGCGATGAGAGGAAGGGAGAAGTGTGTAACGGAGGCTTGGGAACTTGCGTCGGTAGGCGAAGCATGGGGAGGCAGCCTTCTCCCTTCCCTCCCTCCTCCTGCATTCCTAGCCCACCTTTTGCTTTATTTCCGTGTCCTCTGCCCTGCTGAAAGCTAATACTTGGTTAGGTGCCTCCTGGGTTCTGACTCACGGCCATCTTCGCTTTCCCCGTGTGTCTCGCAGTGGATCTCCTCGAGGGGCAGCAGGAGCCCTGCCGAGGGCACAGGCACGAGTTCACCTGGTCTCGCTTCTGGGAAGTCTGCTCCGCCATTCTGAGAAGCTCCCGGTTTGGCCCGGGTGTCAGGGTCTGCTCGGCTGGGATTGTCTAGGGCCCTGCTGTCTAACACGTTTGCCACTGGCCATATGTGGCTATTTCCATTTAAAGTAATTAAAATGAAATAAAATTAAAAATTCAGTGTCTCAATCATGCCAGCCCCAACTGGGCTCACACAAAGTGCATGCCCCGCGGGGCCATTGCTCAACTACAGTGATGTGCGGGAAGACAGTATGGGGCTCAGGGGTCATCCTCACGGTCTTCAGGCCTGTCTGCCCCTTGCCTTAGTGCTTACTGGAGTCCCAGGGCAACAGGAAGGGACCGGACTGCGATGAAGCGCTGGCTGGCAACCAGCACCTCTTACTGAAGATGTGGTTTGTGTGTCTGGGGACAGACTGCCAGGACAGGCCCCACGGGAATGTGTGCTGCAGACAGTCAGAAAAGCTGGGGATGTGAGTGGAGAGGTAAAGAGCCCTGGAGAACGTGTAGGGGAGGGGTGAGGAGGAGGGAGGTCTGCGGAGAATTCCAGAAGACAAATTTGTTCTGCTGCTTCTCTGCCAGTGTATCTGTGTCTTATTCATGTTTATCTAGAAAGACCCTTCGCTGGCTCCAGGTTGTCCTCTAACTATTGTTAGGTAATTTAAAGGAAAAATCTTTCAAAGTCAAGTTTCTTAGAAAGGAGTAGATTCCGTTTATCTCCATCTCTTATTTTCTCCTGAAACCATGGAAATCTCATTTCTGTGCTCCCCAAACCTGCCACCCCAGCCTCCAGTGGTGAATGGTGGGCTGTTTTGTGTATCTTTTGTCCCTTTTTGTGTATCTTGTGTCCCTTGTGTATCTTTGTGTTTTGCTGTAGTTGCTGCATTTAATAATCCTCCTTGAAGATTCCAGGATAGCACTTGCTCCTCTGTCTTTGACTTCTCTTTGCTCCACACCTTCTCCTCACCCACCTGTTACAAGCTGAAGGTCTCTGGGACTCTCTTCTTGCTTTGCTCATTTTCCCTCAGTAACATGCCTGCTGGTGACTTAGGTTTGCACAGCATGTAACTTCCTGGTCTTCATAGTCCTTCAAAGCATTCGTACAGAGCTCCAGGCGCACAGACTCAACGATCTGGCCACCTCTCAATAGCAACATGGCCAAAGCTGAGCTCATCAAGTTGCCATTTGTACTTGTCACTTGACTTCTCAGAAATCCAGATGTTACCCCTCACCCTCCCTCACCACTCTGCCCTCCCCCACATGGGTCAGGCCCCATTTTCCATGTCCTCTTGATTGTTCCTCCCAAGTATCTCTCGGATTGGTCTCCTTTTATTCCTTCCCACTTGTTACTGCCCAGACCTGCTCATTTGGAGTTTCTTACTTCTTCCTGAGCTTTATAACAATAGCCTCTCTTCCTACAATATCCCTGACACTCTGCTGCTGGCCTGGGGTAAACTTGTAATAACATACTATGATCAGCAAACTCCCCTAGTTAGACTCCTCTGAGCTCCCTCCTGCCGAGGGATGTCATATAACCTGATGAGCTAGGCACAGAGCTGTGCAAAAGTTGTCTGTCAGAAGAGTTAGCAAGAAGTTTGTAGACACTTGATGTGAGATGAACTCAGTGTTCATGTACCCTTATTGTTGTAAAATAGAATGAATATTTGTGCCTTATCTTTCATGAAGCCAGTGTGATCTGTTGATAGAGGCTTATTATTTTTGTTTCTGTGTATGTCCTGTAACTGCCTCTGGGTTGTAGGTTTTGGAAGAAGATGCTGTTCTTAAAACATCCTTGTGTGTCTTTACGCTGATTTTACACTCAGAGCAAGCAAGCATGATCTTCACAGACTGCTCATTGGCTGTGGTTTGCAAAGTCCCCAGTGAAGAGGAAATTAAGGCATGCAGAGCAGTGCTGACTTAGGACTAAGAAATCTGAGTTTCAGGCACACAATACAGTGGAACGAGTCAGGATGAGCCATTACCACTCTTGGGAAAACAGGGCATGGGGTATGTTCTGAAGAGCATAACCATATTCTTTTAATTTTCATTCACAATTCAAGATTTATATACTCTGGTCTGTTTTATCCTTGGCCTTTTCTAGTTCCTGAATCCCAAATGTAATTATGAATAGTCCCCAGTATAGAAGGCTTCCAGTGTGGGGGCATTCGAAGTGTGCGAATCAGTGCTGTGCTAGGGAGGGGGAGAGCTGGAGTATGACTCGGGGGCAGGTGGTAGGGATGGTATTTGCAAAGAAAAGCCAGGAAGGCACGTCCTGCCAGATGTGTAGAGGTGGGTCTGGAGGTCATTGCTGGACAGAGGGGAATGAAGCACATCCCAGGACAAGTGAAGAAAAAGGGAGACTTTGAGGCAAAGGCTATCTCATGTTCAAGAAGCAGGAAGTGATCAAGTACTGGAAGCAGCAGGAGGTGGAGTTAGAGGAAGGGGCTTCCTGAGTCTGGGGGTGCTGCTTAGAAATAGAGCAAAAGAAAAAGATAAGCTAGAGTTGGGTGAAAACAATCTTCTTAGCTTAAGTAAGTGGTAAAATTCTATGGTTTGGAGGATGAATTTTGATTTACAATAGATTTTTATTATTTTAATAATTTTTCTTTAAAAGCAAAACAGCACCGAACACCTATACCCTCACTCCCTCTACATTTTAATGTCTGTATACAGTGCTATGGGCTGTATGTATTAAAGGAAGCATTTGGTTCTTCCCTCACCCTGATCTTTCCCCATTTGTCTTTGTTCTGCACTCAAGCAGCTGAAAACAGTCTCCATTCTCACCTTTAGGTATAGAAAAAATGATCTCTTCAAGTGCTGCGTGGACTGTGATAATTTGGGCTGCAATTAACAAAGCTGATGACTTTAGTCAAATATCACAGAAAGTTTTATCTATTTAACGGTCAAAATTAGCTCAGTTAAGTGATAATCAGTACAACTAGGCAGTTTGGTTCTGGTCTCAGTTGTTTACATATGTTGAATTCGACCAACAATTATATGCGACTTTCTTCTTTTGTTTGTACAATAAAGAATGAATTACTTCTTTAAGGATTTAAATTATATATCTCCATATATTCATACCCATTCTAGGTGGTAGATTCATTAAGAAACATGAAATGCTTCCAATAAAATAAAATGCATAACAACCTAAAATTCTTTTAAGTTAAAAATATTATAGTCAGATGCGCTTATAAGGAACAATGTGATGTTTGAATTCATGTGTGTATCAGATAACTGTCAACTCAGGATAATTAACACAAGCTTTGCCTTAAACTCTTATCATTTCTTTATGTTGAGCATATTCAAAATCCTCTCTTCTAGCTACTTAGAGATATAGCATTTATTACTGGACAGCAGTATTTGGATCCACGTGTATAAACACATGCATGCATTTGCCAAGGTGCAAACGCACAAGTTGAGAAAGAAGAAAGCAGCCCCTGATGTTTGCAAGCTGGGCTGGCAATCACAGTCAGGTGATGCTCTCCTGTTGAACATAATGCTACGGAACACCAAGCTAATCCAGTGCCATCTGGGAGGGTAACAGACCCAGGCAAGCCCAGTGTACCCTGTAATTTTGACCAAATAAACACATAAACATGAACATTGTCAAGACCATAGAAATGACCAGAAATCCCCCTCTCTTGGCCAATATGAGTGACTTCTACTTCTTCACCAATCACAACTGTAGTCTCATTCTCTTCCTCCCATTAACATCAGGCCAGAGGGAAGCTTTACTTTACTGAACCTTCCCCCAAATCCCCTAATGCATTTCCCAGTGCCACAGCACATCCTTTCTAATACCCTCCTCGTGAGACTCTTTGTGGTTCTCACTGTGTATTCTTGGCTCTTTACAGTGTCAAAAGAATTTTGTTCAGTGACAGGTGTGTTCCTGGAGGTTTTTGACTAACGGCATTGGTGAACAAATGGTATATCTTTTTGTATAGCAGCTGTTAATTTCTTAAATAAGAAATTAAAACCAAATATTAAATCAAAATAAAATAAAATTCAAGTATGTGAAATTTAAAAATTATGTGTTGAAATCTTTGGATGAAAAATAAAATAAGATGCATTTGCAACAGGTTGGAAATTAAGGAGAAGAAAATCCCTACATACAAAAATTATTTCCAGCTGGATGTGTTGGTGTATACTCTCATCCTAGCTACTTGGGAGACTAAAGCAGGGAGATTGCAAACTCATGAGTGAGTTCATGGCCAACTAGACTGCACTGCAAGACCCAGTTTCAAAATCAAGTTTAAAAGAAAATAAGAGGGGGTGCGCAGGTCAGTGCTGGAGAACTTACCTTGTGTGCACAAGGCCCTGGCTTCTATATCACAAGGAAAAAAATGCTTTAGTGCTTTTTATTTTTTAAAATTTAATTTTGTATTATTTTTAGATTCTTACCTGTAATTCCAGCACTTGAGAGGCTGAGGCAGGAGGATCGTTGTGAGTTCAGGGCCAACCTGGGCTGCATAGTGAGTTCACAGCCAGTCTGATCTACCTAGAGAGACCCTGTCTCAAAAAGACAAAAAAAGCAAAGTCAGATTTTATAAAAGTCATTTTTCCTAAGGAAAGGTATGCAACAAATTTCATTTCTACTCATGATTATGTATGCATTTTCAGAAAGTGTATTTTCACCTATATTGTTATTGTTATTTCAAGGCCAATAGGCTATTATTGTTATTATTATTATTATTATTATTATTTTGGTATTTTATTTTTTTGTTGTTGTTTTTTTTTTCTGGTACCAGGAATCAAACTCACGACCTTGCGCTTGCCAGGCAGGCGCTGTGCCACTGAGCTAAATCCCCAGCTCCTATTTTGGTATTTTAAATGGGAAGAAATGTAACATATTTTGTTCCTCATCGACCTGGATTTCCAATATTTAGACTAATTTATAATTTTATAATTACATTTACAAACTAATACTTTATATAACTCATGCTTTCTTTTCAAGGAGAAAAGAGAAATTTGTTTCCTATTTTATTAAAAATACACATTATTTTCCATAATATTAACAAGAAATTTAGGAACCAATATTTTTAAGCAATTGTTTTTTGAGAAGTCTTGCTACATTGCCCAGGGCGAATTCCAACTCTTAGGC